TCATTAACAAGTGAAAACCACCCATCATTAGCACAAGACCTTTGAATAATGTCTTATGTTTCCAGTATACTTCCGCTGCTTTTGCATAAAACGCCTGATCAAACACGCAAACAACGGCTTTAAGGGGCAGTTTATCTCGTATTTCGCATCCTCTGCAGAGCACTTCATACACAATCCTTAGATCTGTAGCAGGAGAATCCAGCGTATCTAAGTAACTTATTTCACTTTCCATGACAACCATGCCTTCTCGAACTTTGATGTTGAAACCCGTCCAACCCGGTACTAGCAATAACGGGTGAGTCTTCAGCTTTCGCAATTCAATCCAGACAAGATATTCCATTATTTGTGACTGGGACTTTTCTTCGTACGTTGAGTTTACACCAAGGTCTGCAACATGACTCATTTGCCCTGGTCCAATACGCCTTCCACTACAGTACTCAGGGATTTCTCTTGCTACGATGGTTGATGGCAAAGACCTCCTGCACTTTCTTTTTGAAGGCGGTTCATTGTTTCCTTCTGGCTCCTGAATTGCATTTTCTTCTTTCTTCCTTTGCCAAACAAGAATAGAATTCACGCGGTGAGATGTCCCTGATCCACGTAGGGTGCTCTCTAAGCTGTCGATATTGTCAGCAATCATTAGAGCAGTAGAGGGATTAATCTCTTCCTGTTTCACTTCTTTTGTGATGACGACACGATTTTTCTTTTGCTCATTGATGATATCTAATGCACATTCAGTATCAATCTCTTCAACAAGGTCATAGCTTACACCATGTTCATATTTATTAATGATCTTCACAATTTCAGTATTGTTGCAAAGCGCTTTTACAACACAGGGAAAAAGGACACTTTTGGGGGTCTTGATAGCTCCATTTGTGACTGAAAATACAATATCCTGAGCAAAAGAATTTTTAAGTCTTAAAGTTTCTTCTTTCTTGTTCTTCTCGCCTTCAACTTGACCTGATATTAAAACAGTGTAGAATGTATCTAAAAGATCAGGGATGTAGGAACCTACCCTTTCAGCTCTTAAATCTTGTTCTGTAGGTGGCCATGACATGTTCACCTTATAGTTTCTTATTTCGTCATTCAAAAGCTTTGCTACTTCAACTACTCTTTCAGTGTTATCTCTATTTGAGGAAAATGAGTTTAACTCACATTTTGACTTATAATTGTCAATTACTACAGTTTGCATATCTAACGTACATGGATACACCAACACTTTATTATGTTGATAAGAACGAACTGAAGCTCTTCAGACATGCTTGAAAGTTTACGAATAAGATTGTTACCATGGGAGTCAGTAATGTTAACACCCAATCTTTGGGCCTCATCAGTCATCAATTTTCTTATTTCCCTGAGTTCAATATTACGAGGATTGTCAATAAGTCCTTCGCAAAAGCTAAATATGACATCATAAACAGGTTGGAATTCATTAGAATTACAGTTTTCATTTTCATCKGGATTGCTTGAATAGATAATTCGTACAAGTGCTTTATAACACGAAGCATGGTACTTTGCTTCACTTGATATTAGATCTTTAGTACATAAGCCAACTACATATCTAGCTACCTCACTCATTGAAGTGCACTTTTGTATATGTAATTGAGCACATTCTCTGATCTTGTCATCAGCTCTGAATTCCTGGACACTATGCAATTTTTCCCTGGTATTTGAGTTTGCCTTGTATTTTGACTTATTACAAAAAAAGGCATTCATTTGGCAAAACTGTTGAACTTACTTGGCTTACATCTCTTCTGCTTCTTCKTAATGGTAAATCTTCATTGATGTCCTCAGCATTTCTGACTTGAAGATCTCTTTTGTGAGTAAATTCAGATCTACATGCCCGGTGATACTTTACAGGTATTCTAGGGACGTCGCCAGATGAGAGTTCTAAGACAGTTTTGTGACTTCGTATCACAGCTGCTTGGTATAATGTTTTCCATGACCTTTCATCTCTTAAAGTTGTTAAATCTAACCCACGTTTGCCACAGATAACACATAAATCTGCCATAAACTCGATCTATACGTTCATCCTACGTTCATAATAGACGCCATCTTGAATTCTGAGAGATGAGGGGCATGGGTATAAGTATGAAAATGATGCTATTTTCATAATTTTCTTTTCTAATCTCACGAGATTGAAAGTTAAATTGGTATTTTTGCTTTACTTTTTACAATAAGACACTAATTTTGTCCTTTGATAGACTTTAAAAGACATTTTATTCAGCTATCCAACAATATATTTCAAATCATGCAGTTATTACAAAAGAAATGACGTCATATATGACGTAAGAGTGACATCACTTCAACCTACATATACGATGTAGATACTCAACTTTGTTAATATTCATATTTTATAGAYACTGAATGCAGAAATCATTCATTACATTAATGAATAACTGAAACATAGGCTTTTGTAAAAGATCAATATGACGGATGCTTGGCGCAAAACTCTTTCATTTCAAATGTCAATTTCAACATGAAAGCTGACGTTCCAGATTTGCCATCATACCTTTTTGTAATCCTGAATAGTCAAAGAATATTATAAAATGAGTTTAATCCGTTCCCCTTAAGTGAGTATTAGAGCGCAAATTTTGAGGGTCAGCTGATGGACTATTTCTTAGGTCTCCTCGCCACGTCCACCATCTTGTTTTTGAAAACAACAAAACGCTCGCAAGCTATCATGGGATGGATTTTTTCTCGCTGACCACAAAATGCGCTCTGATTGGCTAATTCGCTTTCCTCAGATCAACTGGGGTGATAACAGTGATAAGAATGATAACTGATAGAAGTGTGGTGATAAGAGTAATGAGGATGTTTACTGATAGAGGTGGTGATAAGAGTAATGAGAATGATTACTGATGGAGGTGGTGATAATATATTCAAATGGGTTAAACGTGCACTGTGCCGGCATGGTCTAGAACATGTACTGGACTGGACCCGAGAAAACATGGACCGGACGTAGAAAACTTGGACCGTGGTTGAAAATATGGACTCTGGATCAGACGCATTTGGAAACCTAATCTGTATGTCGCCGATAAAGACAGTAGACTATAATACGTGCACAGTGTAGAATGCTTTATTCTCCCTTCAAGGTCTTCAAAAATACTCAGCTGAAAATACTAGTAGGCATCTCCTTTTGATTAGTAAAAAATTGAATAAATAACTTTAGTGGGTGAGATCTAAATCTAAGTCTGTCTTTAAAAGCATTAAGAGTGACTGTCTGTAACCATCGAGTAAAACACGGCAAACTTCGAAAAATCGATTTCGCTCATACTTTCAAGTTAGWTAGGGTAATGTATCCTAAGAATTGCAGTATAGTTGTATAGTATTATGGAAAAAAATGGAATTTTTCAAACACTCCCGAAAACGCCGTTTGCGACAGTACATTTTGACTCAACTTTCGCGGCTTCTGGGCAAAAAATTTCAAAAAATTTCACAACTATTCCAGTAAAACTTACTGAATTACATATTAATCTTTAATATGAATGACTAATAAAGAGGGGAAAAAACTGCAGTAGAACCTTACTAATGTTAATTATTACTGGAATAGTTGTGAAATCTTTTATTGTGTGTGTTTGCATCATCATTAAAACAAATTAAAACGATTTTTAATCAATCTGGGTTTCCTGTGTTTTGCACCACAACAAGAATGGATGGGCTCCCTGTGGCACTCGCCCGTTGACAAATTCGAGTCGGTAAAGAAAGAAACCAGATCGATGTTGCGTCTAAAAACATTTATAAAAATCCAGGTTTCAGAGTTTGCCAGGTAAGAATTCTTAAACAGCTGCATCATTTAAGGCTATAAAAGTGTTTTAGGCTTGTTTTTGAGTTTATATTTTACTTATAAACACTAGTATCTTGTCTGTTATAGAAAGCGGCCAGAGGTCAGAAATGAGTAATTTGACCAAAGTTTGAAGACGTACTGCGTGACACACAATCATTTGCCCAAAGATTTCTTTACATCACTAGAAAGACCAACATCTGACTAATCAACCAGCGAGGATTCACGCGACTTAGAGGTTAAGCACTTTCAGAATGAATATTTTTGTAAGACCTATTTTTTTGATACTCTAAACACCCGTCTAGCAAATAAAATTATTTTGTTAACTTAAAATTGTACAATTGATCCCAAAGCCACGCATATTGTACTCAATAGATTGTTCTTYAAGAATATGGGTTGTTTTAATTCCCAGTGTTGCTTATTTTTTGTCCTGCAGCCGCGAAAGTGGAGTCAAAATTTACTGTCGCGAACGGCGTTTTCGGGAGTGTTTGAAAAATTCCATAATAAAGCGTTATTTGATCAAACCAACTATACAGCGATTCTTAGGATACATTACCCTATCTAACTTGAAAGTATGCGCGAAATCGAGTTTTCGAGATTTGCCACGGATTTTGTATTTTGCTTGATCGTTACAGACAGTCCCACTTAAGTGTACGTTTCCTAGATAAGTAGGGCCATAAAAATTTTTGAACTAGGCACAACATTACTTTGATTATAAATATGTTATTGAAACGGTTTAGACATCTAATTTCATGTGTCGAAATTATTGGCAAATGTCAAGAGCTATTGTTTGAGCTTCGATGTCTAAACTGGGCCTAAGAAGCTGTTCTAGTTGAGCAACTATATCGTTATAAAACTATAGAGAGTATGCGGCACGTTACAGCCACTTTAAAGATAGAAAATATCGACGGTCACCTTACTAGAATAATAACTGGCACGAATAGTTTGCGTATTAAGTTTTGAAATTGTTAAAAAAATTGTTACAATATGATGATCGTCAACAGTGACATACAGATTAGGTTTCCAGATGCGTCTGAACCCCGGAGTCCATATTTTCTACCACGGTCCATGTTTTCTACGTCTGGTCCATGTTTTCTCGGGTCCAGTCCAGTCCATGATCTCGATCATGCCGCACTGTGTCATCTAAAGCAAAGGCCTTAATTACAGAGAAATGTGACTGGACTGGAAAGCTACAGGCACTTGCCAAACATAAAGAAGCTTGTCCTTTCCAGCAAATACAGTGTGCTAATGTGAACTGCAACACCAACATGCAGAGAAGAGAGCTGGAGGATCATGATAAGATATGCGACCATAAATTGGTAGAGTGTGAT